ACACAAACCAACACAAAACAAAAAAAACCAAAAGACACCAACACAACAGCCACCACCCGAAAAAAAACAAAAAAAACCAAACAGTTTACAATTCGACCAACCCTCCCCTGCAACGTATAAGGAAACAAAAAAAACCCCAACCACAACCAGGAGCAGGAACCATCACCACAATAAATTCCCATCGACAACAAGCACAAAACACCGAAACAACACGGAGTTACCAAAAAACCACAACGCCGGCACTCACAACCACCATTCTATCATCCCACAGGACACCCCAACTGACCGGAACCTAACCGCAACATTGCGAGACATGTCCCAGGACAGCCCTACAACGTCCAGAGCCTTCAGGAACTCGGGGCGGACCTCATCAACACCAGGGGCTCTGCCACCAAGGAGTTGTTTAACTGCCTCAGTGACCTCGCCCCCGGAAATTGGCGGGTCATTCCCCTCATCCCCAGACTCTGCTTCCTCCTTGGAAGACGTGTCAGTGGGATTAAGGAGGTCTTCGAAGTATTCCTTCCACCGCCTGACAATTTTCTCAGTCGACGTCAGCAGCGCTCCGCCAGCACTATACACAGTGCAGGTAGAGACGCCTGATGCCTGACGGTTTGCCAGAATGTCTTCGAGGCAGTCCGAAAGGCTTTTTCCATGGCCTCTCCGAACTCCTCCCACACCCGAGTTTTTGCTTCAGCCACTGCCCGATAGGATAGATTTAGACCTCAGCTGGTGATCTTCATTCTAGAGTTCCTTTAAACGTGTTTGAGGCTTCAGTCACACAGGCCTACAGACCATCCTGTCCCTGAGCCAGCGGTCGCTGACTGGTGTCCAGGCGCGGCTGTAAAACACATACAGTACATATACTATATAAAAATGGAAATGCAGCCAATCACAGCAGGCTTCTGCCTAAAAGCAGGTGTCGAGTTGATTGACATGAGGAGACTTTGACTTTGAGAGTCACCTGTCAGAGCAGGTGTTGCACACCTGGTCAGGCCTCCAAAGGTGTCTTCATGGCCGCGTAGAGGTCAGAGGAGAAAACGATGCTGAGGATCACACCAGTGGGTCGTGGACAAATCCCAGGTGTGATTTTAACAGAGGTGGGACCAAGTCATTGTTTTGCAAGTCTCAAGTAAGTCTCAAGTCTTTATCCTCAAGTCTCAAGTCAAGTCTCAAGTAATGTCAGGCAAGTCAGAGTCGAGTCTCAAGTCACTGGTGTAAAAGTCCGAGTAAAGTCACAAGTCTGAAACTTTGAATTTCAAGTCCTTTCGAGTCTTTAAAAAAAAAAGAAAAAAGAATGTTGCAGTTATGCTAAATGTAAATATTAGACCATGTAATTTTTAAATCTGTGTTTTTCTCAACACATGACAAAATAGTGAACTTAGAAAATATACACAAATTGTGAAATTGCACCTCTTTAAAATGCAGCTCAATTAAACCTAGCTCCAAGAATAATTTTCACCGACAGTTCTGAGATAAGCTGCATGTTATTCTTGGATGCGGTTGTAGGACCGGCTTTAAAATCGCATGACAAAAATATCATACACTAGTTAAAGACCGAAAAGCTGTATAACACCATCAGCGATAGACACATAGAATATCATAGCACATATCAAAAAAACATTCTGCGTATCACCAGTACTAGAGTGAGCACGTGGACAGACATATCTCGACTAGCTTAGCATATGTTATAAGTCAGCATATTTATCATATCACTACGCTATCGTAGGATGATAAGCCAAATCAGTCACTCCAATCGGTAATTAGATGATGCATACATGCAGATTGAAGAAAAATACTTATACTACATCAGAGTTATAGCAGCAACACAAGAAAAAGACATTGCAGTGTAACTTAAATACACCTTACCTGGTAAAGGACGCTAGTAATTAGTACTGGAATCAAATCACCAGAAATGTAGCAGTGACAATAATACTGTATGCTGTAATCGTACTGGGCAATTAGTGATACAAAAAACTGTTTTATCCTGTGAATAAAAGTATATGTTTTTGTCAATGTACCATAATAACAGAAGCGAAACGCAATATTGTGTCAGGACAATTCACTATTTATGCACAATAAATAAAGGAGCATAGCGCGACAATTTCTGTTCAGCGCCAGACTTGCTTGTAACCTATATCACCAATTATGTTATGAAAATGACGCATTAACTACAACAGCAGACTGACCTTCGTGTAAATGCTTGGAGCAGACTAACCTGTGAGCTGGAGTGTTCTGGGACGTTATATTTGGTCTTTGAATGGCTGCAATCCAGTCGCCTCTTTGTTACTTCGGAAACATGGCTCGAACAATTTCTCTTCAACGACGTAATCCGATAACAACCGATCTCTTTACCCGTCGGCTTCCCGTGGCTGTCATGCGACCGGCTATTGCAGTTAATAATACAACAGCTTCTTGCCATTTTTGTGTTTCTTTTTATCGCTGTGTAACTGATTTAATTGAAAGCCTGCGTGCGCTAGTACCGCTTGCCACGAGTTCCCAGAATCCTTTGCGGTTCTACCCGTGAATGACGTCACATTTTCAATCTCTATATAATATGCATGTTAAATTTTATATTTGGGGTGAAATATCAAGTCTTTTCAAGTAAACCGGTTCAAGTCCAATTCAAGTCCCAGGTCATTGGTGTAAAAGTCCAAGTCAAGTCACAAGTCTTAGAACATTTTTTCAAGTCAAGTCTAAAGTCATAAAATTAATGACTCGAGTCTGACTCGAGTCCAAGTCATGTGACTCGAGTCCACACCTCTGGATTTTAATGACACGTTTCCTCCTTCTTTGACTTGCAGACGCTGGAAACAGAAAACAAAAGTTTTACCCTTGAAAACTTAAAGAAAGGGGCGGAGTACTGCATAGAGGTGAAGCTCAACACCAGAGAACTAAACAACCATGAGCCGTCTGCCTGGAAGTGCACCTTCACCACGGCGGTGGACCAGCAGAGAGGTGAGCTGATGTGCAGCCGGTAAGGCGGGCGTTGTTGCTGAATCAGAGCATAATGAGCTGCCACAATTCATCTGCCTCCTTATCTGTGTAAATATGCAGAGGGAGTAATTACTAACACATGCCAGGGCTGCCCCTCTCGCCAGTGGGACTCCTCCCCCAGCCACCTGCTCCACCCATCCCTCCCACAGCACAGGCACAAACCACACCCCTCCGCTGTACTTCGGCTGGTTCAGACGGTCGTCTGCATGGAATAATGTGTGTCTGTGTGTCTGCAGGCCTCACTTTAGGTTTGGTCATCGGCGTCCCGATGGTTGCCATCTTCATCGTCACGAGCTGCCTGCTCCTCCTCTTCTACACGGGAGTCATTTGTAAACTGAAGGAAACTGTGCCCAGAGCTCTAATTGTAAGAAATCCAGTTTCATGTGCACTCTAACACCTGTGGTTTGAGAGATTTTATAATGATGTGTTTATTTCTGCTGTGAAGTTGAACATCGCCTTCATTTCATCCATGAGCGTCTCTCAGAGGACAAAGTTCAAACGCTTTGAAGCTCCACAGTCGTAAAGCTCCTCCAGCATATTGTGATTTGCATTTCCACAGAAGGACCAAAGTCCTTCAAAGGTTAAGCAAATGAGTCAGCTGAGCTGAAAACGACTTCTGTTTTGCCCTGCTGCTCTGTGTATATCTTGCTTCAGTCTTAAATATGATCAACCTATCTCTAATAATCAGCTGTGTACCACAGGCCTTCAAGCTGGCTGTAGTTAAACCTTTACTCAAAAAGCATCTCTAGACCATCTCTAGATCCTTGAAAGAGTAGTTGTCAAACAGCTAACAGATCACAGTGACTGTCCCCAGAAAACAGCTTTGGCTGATGTGTTTGTCCTGCATACTTAGACACAGCTGTGACTCGATGATACTCAGACATCTTCAGCAGAGTTTGCCTCTGTTCCTCCTTCTCAGAGCTTCTTTCTCTTCTCTTTGTAGACGGCTCTAACCAAAGGCTACGTCCTGGCCCCGCAGCCCACCGTCCCAGATCCCATCTCAGTTACCTCGGAGACCGGGGAGCATAACAATCACACAACATCACCTTCTGCCAACATTGACGATGTCTCAGAGGACGACGATGATGGCAACTATGTGAACAGAGCAATGGATCTCTCCTCGGGGGAGAGCTGCTGCTGTGAGGAGCTGTCTGGCAACATGTCAACGAACAGCGAGCCAACGGCAGCACTGGACGCTGGAAGCGCAAGGTTATTTGCTAAGGTGAAAGTAACGGCGCTGCCTGCAGAGTCTGACGAAGGCCAGGTGGAGACGGAGGTGGAGGGAGCGCAGCTCTGTTTGGTGAAAGAGAGGAGTCGAAGTGGAGTCTGGGGACAAAGTCAGGACGAGGAGGTGACGAAGTCCAAAGAGGACAAGGAGGTGCGGGACATCTCCGGCAATGTCAACCTGTTCTCAGTCACCCTCGCCTCAATGGCTGCACGCGATGAAGATGAGGAGGACGTCACAGGCTTTTTGAAAGAGTCCAGCCTGGAGGGTTTACCTGCCACAGACTCACAAACTGAATCAGATCACCTGACACCTCAAGTATTCCCGACACACACAGACCGCACTGCGAGCAGATGTGAAGGCAACAGCACGGACACGCTAACTGAAGAGGAAGAGGAGGAGTTCTCGCCCTATTTGAGAAACAGATGATACTGATGTGTGCTGCTCTGAGCGTCGATGACTCGCAGGTTCTCCTCGTGTTTGTAGACCAGCTTATTATTTGGTGCTGCAGGTCAGAAGATCTGCAAATGAACCAGCCGGATTTTCTGTGTCCGACTTTTTGACGTGTTTGACTGTGAACGTAAAACTGATGCTCCCAAATGGGGTCCAGACACTTTTTAATGTTGTTTGAAAATTAACATAAGCATTTTAAGAAAATCAAAGGAAACTGTGACATTTCTCTTTCTAATGTTCTTCATTAAATATAGATTTTAATGTTTATACATTCTTGTATTTTGCTTGTTTACATTATTGTATTTTGCACAACTCTGTTGCTTGTGAAGCTCGCACACAAGAATTTCACTCACATGTGCTGTACCAATGTACCTGCACATGTGATGTGACAATAAAAGTGATTTGATTTGATTTGTTTCCTTTTCTCCTGGTTTCCATTCTCTGTACTTCATAATTAAGTTTGGGTCATCTCACGCTGGGTCTCCTCTGTCTCAGACAAACTGTTTTTGCTGCAGTGACTTTAAAACTGCTGCTTTCTGATTGGCTGCCCCTTGTAAACAGAAGCTGGCTGGAGCTTCTGAGATGACCATATAAGGGTATACCCTCCCTCTGATATAATACAGTCTCAGGTGTAGAAAAAACTGTCTGCAGAAGAGCCTTTGACTCACTTGTTCATACATTGACCAGTGTTTCATATAAACATCCATGGCTGGAACAGAAGATACGTGAACAGAAATTAGCAGAAAAAGAATAATGTGATAATTATTACATTTTATTTTTTAATATTTAAAAAAATGAGTCCTTAATGATTTTTCCATGCTACCTTACATTGGTGTCGTGGGTTTAAAAATTTGACTTAACTCAAAATTTTGATTTAGTAAATTGAAATTTTGACTTGTGTACCTCACAATTTTGGGATCAAACTACCAACCTTCCAATTAGCAGATTAACTGCTCTAACACCTGAGCTACAGCCACTCTACCCCATGCTAATATTGTTGCTAGCCAAATCATAATGCTAGTGGATTTCCAGATTACTTCAGCAGTATGACTGTTGACATTTAATAATGTAATCGGATTAAGCAAAGGTCTGCAGTGGTTTGTTGCAGCAGAGTTGTAACATGAAGGCAGTTTATTCCTACATTAGAATGTAAATGGTAACTTTGTAAGGGCAAAGATGGAGGTTAGCACAACTTCCAGAGGGTACAAAATCAGTTTAAAGGCTTATTTTGAGACAAACCTCCAAACCTTTCAATCACATTTGACTGCTGATGTTATTTGTGTGGTTTTTATGTCTCGGTGACCTCTGGAGTTACGGTTCATTTAGAGAAAAGTCACAGGTATATATCAGCCTTTTGTTTTTTAGTGAAGCAAGAACAAGGATTGATGTACACAACATGGCTACAAGATATGCACTTTCAATCAAATAAATAAAATGAGAACTTACTAAACTTCTTTGTGTTAAGGTTTCACTGCAGTTTTGGTTTTCATAATCTTAAGGGTTTGAAAATAAGAAATAAAATCGTTATTTTATTCCACCGTGGTTTGTTGCTGTGGTTATAAGATGACCTGCTCGTGAAGCGGGTACACGGATATTTAAAACTAAATGTAAACCTCAAATCTAAGGAAAATAACCACAAACTATATCACATGACTTCTCAAAGCTACTGGGAGCCTGTCAGGTAAGCGTCCGTGCTTCAACAACATCACGTGATTTCCTATCACCGACTTCCCGCGGTGCTGCATTCATGACCGCCGGTCTAATGAGATCTCGTGAAGAGACGGCGTTATAAACTGTAAAGAAAAAAATATCTATAGATATATATTTGCTACACCCGATTTCAGGGACGATGTCCCGTTAAATCAACTGTGACGGTATATTTTATGGCGTCGGTCCGGTTGTATTTAATGCTATGTGTCAAACGAAGTTTACACTTTATGATTTGTCAGACTGGTCAACAACAAACTCAAACCGACCGAGTGGGAAATGTTTCTAAGTGTTGTTGCTGTGTCATTGTTGGGTGTGATGTCGCTTTGATCAAAGGAACGGCACAGGAGCAGGAGAGAGTTCGCGATTACCGGAGGTCCGTGAAGGCAGCGGGGCGGCAGCAGCGTGTTTCGGTCCTGTGACAGCGCTAACGGAAGCATATCGGGACGCTCACCGGGACAGGTAACACGCTCGGACTCATTGATCGGTTACTACCAGCCTGGAGCTTTGATCTTTTACCAACACAGAGGGTGCTAGCCCGTTAGCCTGTTAGCCCGTTAGCCTGAGATGAGGAGGAATTTCCGGCGAGTGGGCGGTTTGAGAAAAACACGAAAACTTGAATCTGCGGACCAGTGACGCTTCATGGGGGCTTTATCTCTCCGTAACAGGTCAGCAAGTTACACTTATCTCACAGTCTGTACTTACAGGGAAGTCTGAGGCCAAACCAGAGGCTAACAGAACCACGGGGGTGTTAATAAAGGTTTATTTCAATGTCAAAACTTTATTAACTGTGTTTAACTGTAAGACACGAGACAGAAAGTAAAAGCGTGGGTCTGTAACTGCACTTTCATCCCTGCTCAGAAAGGGAAAGCAACTGCTGTCTGTCCGTTGAGGTGCTGATGGAAGCTCGGCAGATGTGCTCCAGCTGTCATGACCGCTCTCACCTGGATGCTCTCATGGCTGCCTCTGATCCTGCCAGGTGAGCGCGCACTCAGAACCACCTGATCTTGCCTCTGCGTATTTCTGGACTCTCCGTGTCATAGTTCAGGCCGTTTCCTCTGGAAACCACCTGAGTGTCCCGGCTGTGGTCATCCACTCACCGTCCGCTGCTTCCTGTTCCTTTGTCACTGTAAAGGCGTGTTATTCAGTCAGACCTGAGACCATGAAATCATCAGGAAGGAGTTGGCTGAGCCCAGAGTAGGCTGCTCATGTTGTCACAGACTTGTGTCCAATCAGACTTTTCAGACTAGAGGCTGCAGCCGTCTTTAGGACACTATATTAGCAACAGTTTGCAGCTCTTCTTTCCAGAGGTTTAGGAGTGTTTATGGGAATTTTGGACCATTCGAATGTTGGACGAGAAGCCCCGGCTCACAGTCGCTAACTCATCCCAAAGCTGTTCTGTTGGGCTGAGGTCAGGACTCTGTGCAGGCAGGTTCTTCCACAGCTCATCCGTGTCTTTCTGCACACCGGTGTCCAGCCATGTTGGAACAGCCATCCCCAAACTGTTCCCACAAAGTTGGGACCATGAGATGGTCTGCTGAAGCATGAAGTTCCTTTCCCTGGAACGACTGAGGGTGGGGAGATGTTTGCTGGGTCTTTCTTTCCTCCCACAGTTCCCACACATACAGATCTCAGCTCCTCCCACAGCGTGCACAAAGCTGGAGTTCTGTCAGGCGTAGAAGAGCTGCTGCCTGTTTAATAATTATGTAGAGTGTCCGTGAAGAATAATAATTTTATTGTTTTTCTGCTGACATGTTTCATTTTGTGCTGCGGGTCAGATAACTCATGGTGCTGGTCTCCTGCTGACCTTTGACCTTCCTCTTCCTGTCTGTGTTCCAGCTGTAGGTACCCTCCCAAAGCCCGTCAACATCTCCCTGACATCACTCAACTTCAGTTATATACTGAAATGGGAGGCGGGACCAGGCACACCTCCAGGGGTCTACTATAACGTTGAATACAAATCTGAGAGGTGGGTTTACCTTCACACACTGACAGCTGCAGGTGTGCTGATGTCACCTGGTTGGTACCCTGATGATAGTCTGCGTTGTCTTCAGAGGAGTTCTGACATGTTTCTGGCACATATTGGCTCAGGTGATCACGAACACGTCCTCTGAGATCTGATGTTTCTCTCCTCTCTGGTCATGAAAGGAAACATAGCTGGAACCCGGTGGCCGGCTGTGAGCGTGTGCAGAAGCCTCTGTTTTGTGACTTGACGGCGGCGTTCTCCGTCCTAACGGAGAAGTACTTAACAAGGGTTGGAGCTCAGCTGGGAGGCCAGGTCTTTGGAGACCCGAACGAGACCGAGGTCCCATTCAAACCCATCGGTGAGTGTCGAGTCTTCAGCTCCGGAGACGCCACGAGTTTGTTATTTTCAGCCCTCTGAGCCGTGTGTGTGCGTCATGCGTTGTTTGTGATTTCTGCAGAACACCTGAGCCTGCCGCTGCTTAGCGTGGCGCCCAGCGACAGAAGCCTGAGCGTGGATCTTCACCCTCCGCTGGAGCGCCTCAGGCAGAGCTACGACATTCTCCGTTACGAGCTCCGGATCAGCAGCAGCAACCCGGATAAGATGGAGGTACATGAGAGAGGGAGACCAATCAGAACCCCCGGTTTGAGTTTCACCTCCGCAAATAAACGGCAAAGACGGCGAGGGTCAAATGTCACCTCAAGCAAAGTATAAGGAGGGAGGAGCCTGGCCTATAGGCCTGACACGGGACTGCAAGTTACCTTTCAAATCACACAACACTAACTCCACTCTGGACCCGCCCACTTTGTGTCGCTGTGGTTATTTTTCCGCTCACTCTCCGTGTCCGCCGCTTCCATTAATGTTTCCATGGTGATCCAGCTGTGGAATTCTGTCCCACTGTTATTACATGTCTCCGAAATGATGCTCGCCGAGCGTCCTCACCAGCTGCCGATGAGCATAAGAGCATACCTCGCACAGTAACCGTGGTGATACCTGAGCGCTGGCTCGAAGCGTTAGAAACAAGTTTACTTCCTGCTTTCATCTGTTAGCTCTGAGTGGATCTTTATGGCAGTGACGTACTCCTGAACCTCTGGGACAGAAAGTGTGGCCCACGGCTTTCAACGGTTTGAAGTCAGTCATGAGTCCACTCTGATTTATGATAAATGTTTAAATATTTTGCTAAATGTAAAAAGTCTGTAGGCTAAGAGCGGGCGTCACGTGAGAGACCTGCTGCTGTGTCAGTCGGAGTCTGTGTGAGCAGGACGCCTCCTGTGCTGATAATCTGTGCCTGTGTGTGCAGTTCATCAAGACTGAGTCTCTGAAGAGCTATAAGTGGGATCGTTTGGAGCCCGGCAGGCGGTACTGTGTCGCCGTGCGATTCTGCGACGAAATCGAGGACATGTACTCCAACTTCAGCCCGCCTGAGTGTGCTACAGTACCAGCCATCTTCTCTGCAGGTACACACACACACACACACACACACACACACACACACACACACACACACACACACACACAGTGATTTCAGTTACCTCGCTGTCAGGTGGAAGATGGGTGACGCTAAAGGAGCAGCATCATAAACACTGCTGTTAGCCTGCAGTGTCGTTCAGGGCGTGCGTGTTAATAACTTTACGTCAGGACTCTGTGGAGCTCCACGTTTTTCAAAGCTGTGCCAAGTTTCAGCCCCCTCAGGTTGAACCGTGAGATACAGCGTTTGTGTGTTTGCTTATTTAGTTTTACTCACTGGAAAAATCAAGTGGACACATGGAGGTGACAATAAAAAGCTTTTAGTCCACAACATTCATGCTGAGCTTCTGTTGTGACTGGAAATGGAGGGAATTCCCCGTGAAACACACTTCCCACGCTAACCTCAGCGAATCTGACTGACTGGTGGTGGTCAGAGGGCCCGGTGGTGCCTGTGTCCGGCAGCCTCGCCTCTGTCAGTGCGCCCCAGGGCGGCTGTGGCTACAATGTAGCTGCCATCACCAGTGTGTGAATGTGTGTGAATGTGTGGATGACTGAATGTAGTGTAAAGCGCTTTGGGGTCCTATGGACTAGAAAAGCGCTATACAAATGCAGGCCATAAGCAAGTCACAGCTGGAAACAGCAGTGCTAGTACTACCTGTAGTAGTACTACATGTACTAGTACTACTACAGGTAGTACTATATGTACTAGTACTACTACAGGTAGTACTACATGTACTGTAGCACGATGTGAACATTTAAATGTTGCTGTTTTCAGGCTGATGAGACTGATGTTCACCTCTAAACTCGTTGTGTTCCTGCGTGCAGACCCGCTGATCTCGGGCATGTTGTGCTCGTTGGTGATCATCGTCACGTTCTGCATCTTCATGCTGATCTCGACCGGGTTCATCTGTCCGAGACGGAGGCTGCTGCCGTCGGTTCTGGTAAGTTCAGAGTCAGAGCATCACACGCTGAACACGTCACCAAAGGAAGACGATTTATTCTAGCATCTGATTCCTTCAGGTTTCAGTCGTCAGCGCTCGTGTCTGATGTTCGACCTTTGTTGTTGTTTCACAGTTTCAAAGAACGCCATCGCGATGCGTGTGACGAGTGGCTCTTATTTTGAAAGTTCAGTTGTTTTCAGTTATAAAATAAAGTTTCCATCCTGTACCCGCACCGCTAACTGGACCTGACCCTTCAGCATCCAGCAGCAAACGGGTCAGAGGTCCTGAGTTTGAGCCTTTGAAGCGAACTCGAGGACGCTGGTTCATGAGAACGTGATACGATCGTGCTGTGATAGTCACGTAGTTTCAGTCTCACTCCTGTCACTTCTCATTGCTTCATCACAGCAAAGTGTTTTCCACGCGAACAGATCCGCGTGTCTAAAGCACCAGAACGATCTCAGCAGAAATATTCCCGTTGATCTGCAGAGAACACGAGTGGGAACGTGTGAAGAGTTCTTTCTTTCTGTGGTTTCACATCTCTGTCATCTCACATCCTTTGATGCGTGTGAAGCATAAATCTGAGTGCAGATTACACCATCAGATGCTTTAACAGGACTCTAATGTGGTGGAATCGCCCAGGGTCGGGCTCTCTGCTACAGCTGGAGTCGCAGGCCAAACAGTTAACGTGCTGTTTGCTGTTTGTGGTCGAGCGGCGAGCGCTCAGCGTTTTCTGAGTAAAGACACAGGAAGAAACAGCAGCAGGTGGAAACTCTGCCAGAGCTGCGGTTGCACAAACAAAGAGAGACAGCTGCACAGACTCAGGACGCTGCTAAAGAGCTCGCGCACACAGTCAGAGCGTGCAGGCAGGATGTGCTTCGAGAGGTGAAACACAGCCATGTTTTTACAGCTCGTACCGCAGTGAAATCCCATTTGCTCCCAGTCACAGCAGCGCTGAGACCCGCTCGGCTGCTCGGTCACCGAGCCGCTAATCGCTCCGTTCATAACGTGCCGTGTTATTCCTGGTGTGGAGATGCCAGCAAACAACTTTTAATACTCCTGCATCGGCACGAGCCGTCCATGTTTAAAGCGCTCACCAGACTGAAGTGTAATGTTTGTCCACAGAGATCTCACAGTGATTCAGTTTCACAGTGTCTCACGTCCCTCTGGTCACATTTCAGACGCTTCATGATCAAAGTAATGTTTTCATATCAGGGCTGAGAGCTCAGAGCTGGAACGCAGGAAGACCCCGGCCCCGGCCCGCTCTCCGTGCAGTGTTCAAAAGCTGCTTTTAAGTTTGGCTTTATTTTCTGCTTTGACCTCGAGCCTGCACTCAAACGTTGGCCACCCCTCTGAGGTGAAAGCAGAGCAGCGTTTCTGTGGTGTTGTGAGTGAGTGTTGTTTATCTGAAAGTTGAACGTCTTCGCCATGTATCCGGGACTCCGGTGTACCCCAGGGTAGGGTTCTCGGCTCATTGTTCTTCTGAGTTTATCACAGCAGCAGAACGCCGGCCAGCGGCTGCTTCCTCTGTGCACAGGAAATGTTATCACATAAAAAACTGGTGAATATTTAAAAATGTGGCCTGAGGAGCCGCTGGTTCAGTTTGGCTTTGAACCCAGTGTAGAAATGTTCATCTGGGTTTATTCTTGGTGTTGTCGTTCTGCGGTGTTTGCTGATATATGTCTGTGTTGGCGTCTTGGCTGAAGTTGCTATGGAGACTTGGTGACGTGAGTCTCAGAGCAGAGGCTGTCCTGCACAGGGAAACACTTCGCATCAGGAAGTCTTCTCTGTTACCTGCTGTGAGTCGTTATCTCGTCTTCTCACGTGATTATTTATCTGTAACCACCTGTTTGCTGGGATCTAAAGGTCGTGTGGTTTATGAGCATGAATGAACCCCGGGCTTATTTATTTATTTTTGCATTGTCTCTTTTATTGAGAGAAAGCAATTGAACACTTTTACACTGTCTTTGCTTTCACATTTTTAAACTTACAATTGAAAAGAAAAAAGAGGGAAAAGACTTGGGTAAGGGAGTAGCAGCAGGCAAGTTAGCATCACATGATTGTCATGGGAATTTAACTCGGGGCTTCAACGTAAAAAAAAAAATAAGAAAGCATGGTTCATAAAATAAAAAATAAAAATCACACCTCACAGGCTTAACATATTCTGTAGGAAGTATCCCTCTGAAGTTTAAGAGAAAATGACCATTTTTCCATCGTATAGATCTCTGGTACAGAATGTTTTCCATCTTCCATCGTTGGTGGTTCAGGCGTAAGCCATTTCCTCGAGGCTTTTTACTCGTGGCCAGTAAGATATACAAGAGTCTGCTATCATTAGAGTTCAATTCATCCACTGGTGTGTTACACAGAAATATGGTCTCAAAGGTTAAAGGAAAAACAAATGAAAACACATTTTGTAGATGTTCGTGGATTAGTGCTGGCGACTATCTTTGCAATCCCAAAAGATTTGGAAACGGTTAGCTCCATCTCGCCCACATCTCCAACAAGTGTCGCAGTTCCCCGATATCTTTGCTGAGCAGGGCTGATGAAAACTCTCGTAATGATTTTACAGCAGAACTCACGGCAAACACTGGACCCGGTGGTAGCCCACTGTGTCATGCATGCGTGGCCCCAACACTCCTCTGTAATCGACAGGTTGCCTTCTTTTCCCCACATTGCTTTCATATACAGAGAGCTGTGGTTTTTACACCGCAGGATGCTCTTATATCGTTTGGAAATCATTTTGCTTTGCGCTCCAGATTTGGTAATATAAATGTTTCTACAAACTGTAATTCGTTTAGGTTCACTTTTAAGTTTTGATTAAAATAATTTCTGGCCTGTAGAAATCTAAAGAAGTCGTCTGAGCCTAAATCATGTTTGCTCCTTTCAAAGCTTTGAAATGCCTCCTTGTGGACGAATGAATAATAATTAGTTATACCTTTTCAAATCCAGTTCTTGAATCTATTATCGTACTGATTCGGGAAAAATCTGAATCACATGCTCACCATCAAAGCTTAGAGGCAAATTCTGATGACTTCTTTCAGAGCAGATGTGATTATTTGTAGTATGGGTTCATCTGCCATGTCTGTTTTGTTCTGTAACTTTATGTCCGATATTAAAGCTGTAACTGGTTTTCCTTCAACATCTTTCCATCCGGCGGTGTAATCTGGACAGCAGAGACATATCAGTGGTCTTAGCTGAGCTGCGCAGTAATATTCTCGTAGACAAGGAAGCCCACGACCTCCCTTTTCTTTCTTTAGTTGGAGCGTTTATATTTAACTCGAGCTTTTCTCCCGTTCCAGATGTGTTTTGGCAATATTCTTACAATATTCAATATAAAGACTGAAACAAATACAGGGAAGAATATTTAATCTAACTGATTCAATCCTGGAGTGCAGAGACGGATTGGTATTCCATCTTTGTCTGTCTGATCGTATAGATTCAGTTAGCGGGGCATAGTTGGCATTGAACATTTTGGTGACGTCACGATTACCACCCTTAGGTACCTAATGCTATCTACATCCCACTTCCATTTATAGCGATTCTTAATTTCAACTGGTGGTTCATAGTTTAAAGTTAATACCTGCATTTACATTAACCTTGTATCCTGAAAAAGAGCCGTACTCTGATAGCATTTCCATGCCCGGGCTTATTTTAAAGATGAGCTCCTGTTAACGTGTCGGTGAGTGCCGTGTGACTCGTCGTCACCTTTAGTTTGTGAAACCTTGAATTCATCTGAGTATTTTCTTCATGCAGACAGCGTGCTGGGATGGAGCAGCTGTGGGCGTCCTTACAGTTAACCTTTTTAATATTTGTAGTGTCTCATGCGAACGGGGGGATCAGCAGACGCTTTTCATGAAATAGATGCAGTTTCATGTTCCATTATTAACTGCCTTTAGTTAACCAAGATGCAGAGGGGCTTTCCCCTGCTGTGTGACCAACAAACCAAACATGAAATTTGGAGGGTTTGGGTGCTCACCAACAGTTTTTTCCAAAACACGGCGCCGTGCCCAGCTCTCTGTCACACCGCACTTCTTTTAATGTGATTCAGCTACGTTTCCACTGCTAGGAAACACGCAAAGGCCACGCGAGCAGATGAAGCGCTCACAGCCCACAAAGGTCTGTTCAGCGCTTCGACCGTAACACCGAGCTCAGTTTGCTCGTAAAGCCGAGGTGAAGCCAAGGTGAGCCTCTAACTCCAGGGATGAACTAGATGAACACGCAACATTTCAATTTTCATTTTAAAACGGATCTTCAGGCTCGTTGTGTTTGCTCGCCTCTCACAAAACACGTCATTTGCTTCTTTTGCTAAATCTACAAAAAAATGAAAAAACACAGTTTGACCTGAAATAGTGGCACCAACAGCTGTTAGCTGGAAACTTACCTGATCTCAGCGTGGTGTGCAGTGTGTATCTGACAGTCACGTCAGAAGGGGAGCAAACACCTGACGGTCGACAGGAGGTCAGGAGGAGGACAGGAGGAGGTCTGGAGGAGGATAGGAGGACGACAGGATAGTAGGAGCAAAGACCTGACGGTGATCAGCTGATCGTCGACTGAAACCTCATCAGCAATGGTCAGGAAGACGTTTTTACTGAAGAGAGACAGGAGGAGGACAGGAGGAGGTAAGGAGGACGATGGGAGGAGGTCAGGAGGAGGTCAGGAGGAGATTGGGAGTAGGACAGGAGGAGGTCAGGAGGAGGTCTGGGACAGGAGGAGGTCAGGAAGACGACAGGAGGAGGACAGGAAGAGGTCTGGAGGAGGATAGGAGGACGACAGGAGGAGAAGGTCTGGAGGAGGTCAGAAGGTCAGGTGGAGGACGGGAGAAGGACAGGAGGAGGTCTGGAGAAGGTCAGGAGGAGATTGGGAGGAGGACAGGAAGAGGTCAGGAGAAGATCTGGAGGAGGTCAGGAAAGAGGTCAGGAGGAGGTTAGGAGGAGGACAGGAGGAGGTCTGGAACAGGAGAAGGTTAGGAGGAGGATAGGAGGAGGTAAGAAAGACGACAGGAG